GCCCCCCGCCCAGCCCCTCCCTAGTCCTTCACCGTGGAGGAGTTGAGGCTGGACACAGAGGAGCTGCTGCTGAGCATGCGGTCGAGGGAAGGGCCGAGCCCCGGGGCCTCTTCCCCATTCTCCTGGATCTCGGAGGTCGCCTGGATCTGGAGAGGGAGAGGTGACAGGGGCACCCCCTGCTTCTCTGGACCTCCCTGGACCGTGCAGGTGTCACCCACGGTTCCCATCCCCGGGGCAGGCCCACTCTCGGTCTGGAATCCGCTCCTGGTGTTGAGAACAGCCACTGGCTACACCTTCCACCACCTACCTGGGCTGCCGAGGGCCCGGGCTCCTGCTCCGCCCTCTGCTCAGGATCCAGCGCTGTGTCGGTCTCTGCCACCTGCACACCCCCTGGGCCAGGGTCTGGAGTGGGGCACAAGCTGCTGAGAGAGCCCCTCAGCTGTGTGTGTCCCTAAGTAAACCTGGGAGGACTTGTTCACACCTCTAGTCACCTGGTAGCTTCAGGCTCCATGGTGACCTGGGGTCGCCCATTTCGGTGGGGGTAGGAGAAGAGGAAGGTAATCGTGGGGGTGGGGGTCATAAAAAACTGCCTGTGCTCGCCTCAACATCTTTTGCTCCTCAGCACACCCTCCTACTCACCTTCCCCGGCCTGGGGCTCATCCTCATGACCTGAAGCCACTGAGGCTACATAGGCTGAGGGGAAATCAGGTCCCTGAAGAAAGCAAAGGATAGAGACCATGATGGGGGTTCATGAGGAAGGGGTCAAGGGTTATGCTGGGGTCAGAGGTCAGAGACTCCAGCCTGCTTACTTCAGTGTTGGAGTAGGGCTGCCCTCAGGGCAGGGCTGGCTACCAGTTGCAGGACCAGTCAGGCCTGTACTTCACACCCTGGCATCTCAAGGCCTGTGCCTCCTGATGTGCCAGCCTGACTCGTAGGTTCATGTGGTAGGGGCTGTAACATCTGAGTCCCTGGCCTCAGCCTCACCCTCCTCATCCCAACCCCAATCTTTTTGAAGCCAGACATGAGACTGGCTTCATGTCTCATGTATAGTTGAGGAGGACCTTGAACTCCTGGTCCTCCTGTTTCTACCTCCTGAGAGTCAGGATCACAGGTATTCACCACCATGTCTGGTTTATGTGGTACTAGGGGTCAAACACAGGACTTCATGCATGCTAGGCAAGCCTCTACCAGCTGAGCTACAGCCTTATTCTTCTTTTCTGGAGGGGGAGAGGTATCTCTGTAGCTTTGGAGCCGATTCTGGAACTCTTTGTAGACCAGGCTAGCCTTGAACTCACAGAGATCCACCTGTCTCTACCTGGGATTAAAGGTGTGTGTCACCCCCCCCACCACCCTTAGCTTTAGCCTTATTATTTTTTTTTAAGATTTATTTATTTGGCCAGGCAGTGGTGGTGCACGCCTTTAGTCCCAGCACTCAGGAGGCAGAGGCAGAGGCAGAGGCAGAGGCAGAGGCTGGGATTAAAGACATACGCCACCACCTCCAGCCTTTTTCTTACTAGCTGGATTCACAATTGCCTTAGAGGCTTGGTCCAGGCCACAGGTTGATCAAGGTGGTGAAGAGAAGAGACTTGTCCAAGTCCCCTGACTCCCAGTAATGGGGGTTCCTTCCCTAGCACATTGACCCCAATTTGGAACCACCGTGTACTTGCTTTGAGCTCACCCAGTCACTGGTACTCACTTGGGTCTTACTGTACCTCTCTGGAACAGCCATCTCTATGGAGACCCTAGAAGGAGGGAGTCGTGGTTTTCAGGGCTGGGCAGCTGGCAGTCCCCTCTCCTCTCCATGCTGCCTCCTCACCTGGGCTCTGGCTCTTCTTCAGTGGTGTCTTTCCCAGCAGCCTCTGCCTCACCATCACTTCCCAGAGCCTGGTCCCCTGGGCTCAGGAGAGAAATTCTGTGACCCTCCATCCTCCAGAAGCCCCATACTGGCCATGGCCCACGGGAGATGCCCATCCATCTCCTATAGCCCTCAGAGGAGCAAGGCTACTCGGACACTCAGTATGGGGACAGCCAGGACTAGAACCCAAATCCTAGTCCTGCCCGTTTTCAGTATCTACTCTTGGTTTCTCAAAGCTCCCCCTCCCTGCCTTGGGGTCTCCCCTTACCCCTGGAGCTCTTCTTCCTTCGGATAGAAGCTCTGACAAGGTCAGACCCAAAATGGGCATGATGATGCCGCTGGGAGCGTGCTTCTTGGAACCAGTCCCCCGTCAGGGTCTTCAGCTGCCCCGGGTCTGCCAGGGAGGCTCGGAGCTTGCTGGAGGATAGCAGAGGACACAGCTGTCACTACTCACCCAACCAACATTCCTGACACCCACTCTGGACCAGGGACCAGGGACTCAACCGCAAATCACACTTGATCCTGGCCCTGGAGTCACTCAGGCTACTAAGGAGACAGAATCCGGAATAGGTAAGTGTAGCGATGGAGTAAGAGGGCCTTCTGTGGGAATCACTTCTTTAAAGGATGAATTGGAATTCTCCATATTGAGAAGCATAATAATCATTACTCAGGAATAATACAGTTATTGTGGGCCATGCCCGACCCTTTACTTATTGCACACGTACACGCAAAGTGTAAGTGGTGTGCATGGGTATGCATGTGTCCTCATGTTTGTGGTCACATGCATATGTTTGTGTTCCCATGTTTGTGGTCTCATGCATGCATATGTGTGTGTTCCCATGTTTGTGGTCTCATGCATATGTGTGTGTTCCCATGTTTGTGGTCTCATGCATATGTGTGTGTTCCCATGTTTGTGGTCACGTGCAGTTTGTGGTCTCATGCAT